CTTCACACGCCTGGTTGAACGATCATTTCATCGACTTTGACAATGCACGCGTGATTGACAAGGGAAATTTTCGTGTTAGAAAAACTTTGGAATCCTGGCACACAGCAATAAAGAACCATGCTGACAATAATGCGAAACAATTACCAGGACAATATTCAATTTTATTTTGAACTTCACATTAGCATTTTTTTACTCTCACACAAGCATTTCTATTGTTTTTATTATAATTTTGTTTTTCACACTGTTCTTAGTATATATTTTAACGTTCGCGCTTTCTATCTATTACTCGTTAAAGACTACAGACTGGTCGTCGAAAGCTCGTTTTAAACAAATTTTTAGCCAGAAATCGTTTTTCTATTTTTCCAAATGTCTTATCCTGGTTACTCATCTATTTTTAAATCACCTTTGTGTCACAGCTACCCCTCTCCGATTTGTTTTTTAGGAGAGGGCAGCTGTAACGGCTATCAACTTTACGAGGGGAAGGTATTCGAAGCCATCGTCTTTATCACTATTAAAAATTATGAAAGTGGCCGCGGTAAATGTGTTGTTTTATAACTGGAACCTCTTAGTGTTCAGGGGTGAAAATATTTACAAGCCTCGCCCACAAGACAGGATTCTCTTGTTATCTTTTGGGGGCCCTTTTCAAAGTTTCCGACGAGCACCCTGATCTTTTAAAATATGTAATTTTATACTGTAATCGCATTAGGTTAAATAACAAGATCCCTTTGTTGCACTCTAACACAAACCAAAACAAACCAACGGCGTTGGGAGAAATGAATCACGGCGAACAAAGGAAAATGATAACAACGATTAACCACAGAGTGAACTTTTTAAGGGCCCAGCCAAAGCCAGATTGGGATATTTTATGAATGCAAGTGGAGTTAATTAAGGATTTGCACTACCAGTCAGTCTGTTTGAAAATCCTCTGAAAATTACACGAGCCTTTTGCTAGCGAATGTAATTTGAAAGAATTTCCAAATCGTTAATTGCACTACCCTTCTTACAATTACTCAAATTTGACTGATACAAATACGAACGCGCATGCAGTATAGCACGGCAGCCATGTTGTATTATGGTAGGAACAATGAAAATGTTTTGCATTAGAAAGAACATTTTTTCCATAGAAAAAAAGAATCTGATGTTCCTGCCATGCAACATTGCTGCCGTGCAAAACTCTATAAATTGAAAATTAACGATAAATTAGGTTAGATAACTAGTAGTAATCAAAACTAGCAGTTAACTAGTAGCCAGTTTCCGTAGACTCACAAAAATATTTTCATTATTTGATGCTAAATATTTTAACATTAACTGGCAAGGTTTAAGCGTAAAAGGTAATTTGTTAAAGTGTGCGTTTTTTTATGTACATTATTCTAAGCTGGAAGCACAAATACAAGCAAACATTTGCCTTCGCGTGCGCATGCTCGTAAACAATCTCCGAGCGACTGATTCGAATGTTTCCCCTGATGAATAAAAGAAGAAAGTATTTTTACATTGCCGTTCCTTGTTTAGACTCACTCTTATGAATCTTGCCTTCACAGTACGTTTCAAACGATTCCAAACAATATTCGAGGGAACAATATTCGACCCGATAAAGACTGAGCTATCTGTCACGACTGGAACTGATATAATCAACAAATGCAATCAAACCACAGCCAATGGAATAGAGGTGTTCCAGTGGTAAACATCCTAAAGTCAAGACGATTCAAATTCGAGAACATATAGTAGTAACCTATAAACCACGAGGTAGTCTCTAGCTTTAGAAATCCGCTTCAAAATGCTCAGACTTCCTGAAAGTACCAGAATACGATAGGCTTTAAGCACATGACTTATGACATATGACGTCATCCAAAATGGCGCAGAAAATGCAGACGTTCGAGGAAAAAGTCTCAAAAGAAGTCACCCTTGAAACCGCAGAACAACCAAGATTATGAACTGCGTTCTGCGAACGCAAAAAAGGTTAAACCGCCTACGTAAAACGCTCAGTAAAACTGAGAGCCGCTGGACAGCTGTAGATCATTAAAAGAAGAACTCAAGATAAACTGTAAAAACAGCGGTAATTTAATTTGATTTCTGGAAGATGTGACCCATTCGCGAACATGTGAGCGCATGACATGTGCTGTTTGACCTATTTGTTTTGTTTGGCAAATTCCCGGGGCAAATTCCTCATTTTCCTGGATCCTCGGCTGGATAGTTTTGCAGTAATGTAATCCAGTCGCCCAGATTTATTATTTGTCTACGACTTTCGCTACGCAATTACTAACTGTTTCACGTCTACCCTCGTAACATAGCGTCAACGAGCGATGAATGTCTGGGAAAAGGAGAGCAAAATAATGCCCACAGCGAAACGTAGCGGCAATCTTCACAAGGCGTCCTCCATTTTGTCCGTTGCTGCCATTCTGTTGACGATCGCGCTGTTCGTGAGAATGGAGACAGTGGATTCAAAATTCATGCTGGAAATTCAACAAATCAAAGACGCTCTGAAAGAAGAAAAAGCTTCTCGTCAATCCCGTGTGAAAGAGAGCTTTGATATTGTCAGTGGTAAGTAAAAGTTTTGTTGTCGTCGTCCCCTTAGAGACGGTATCAATTGCAATGCGAAGGTTATATGCTTGCTCTTGATGGCCATCTACAGAACGGTGTCCGTCTTTTCAAGTTTATGGGATTTCTCATCTCCAGCAGCCGCTGTAAAACGTCAGCACGAGTGTTGTAGTCTTTTTCAGTCATGATTGTTGACAATGGGCGATGAAAGAATTGAGACAAATTTGGCGAAAGTATAGTCCCGCAGATTCTATACCCCGCCATTATATGGACAAGGCATTCATGCATTGTTGCAAAGCTTTGCATGTTTTTCATGGCTGCAATGAGTTTGATACGATGCTTACATACGAATGTTCATGACAAATCAATGCTTAAGGGTTTTCTTTTGGTTAATTTAAGACGTTCAGCAGAGACTTCAGCAACTGAGTAGCGAGTAGGCTGCAAATGGAGGGGGACATCGGGGTTTGCGGTATTGTGGTATTGTAAAATTTTTCTTGCGGTATTTCGGTAATTTTAATTTCGAATTGTGGTATTACGGTATTCTCCATATCCTTCAAGTCCTCCAACGTTTTCCGAGCCTTTTCCAGTTTCCAATCGGAAAAGGGTAAGTTATTTGTTGTTAATTATTAGCCAATGGATTTAACCTACTTTGTTTATTTTGTCTAAATAAAAAATTACAAAACTTAACGTTCATTAACAAATTCGCTTATTGTTATTCCCGGGTTACTAACGCTCTAAACCCGACATTCAGAGTAGTCGTTTGGGTATGACATTACGTTTCCACTCGATATATATTGCAGTCTTGCGGTATTTTCCGAACTTCTTGCGGTATTGCGGTGTTAAGAACCCTCAATGTCCCCCTCCAAATGGTTGCATCTCCCCACGAAAGAGTTGCATACAGAGGTAATGCTACCTAATGCTTCGCTTACTGATAGCCAGTGCAGGTAATGTTCACCGCTGAAGCCAAGGTATTGCCTGTGCAGTAAACGAGCGAATTATAAAAGGAGATGGGTTGACTACTTTTTTTATCACATGTGGATTGTAATACAAATCTGTTTCGTGGAAAGACCCACCTAACACAAAGTTAGTCCATGCGGTCATCAAATAATTTCTATTTACCGAGTCAGAGGTCATATTTCTGTTTCGTCACAACAAAGTGGTATTTTAATATGTTTCTCTTAGCACGTTTTAAATATCAACATTGAAAGATAGGAAGTCACTAGTGATTAAAAACACAGCAAAAGCTAGGATTTGAAGCAANCTTCAGCACAGACTACAGCGACTGAGTAGCGAGTAGGCCGCAAATGGAGGGGGATATTGGGGTTTGCGTAATGCGGTATTGTATAATTTTTCTCGTGGTATCTCGGTAATTTTAACTTTGAATTGTAGTATTTTGGTATTCTCCGAACCTACGGGATGCGGTTTTTTAGCATTTTTGACGGTATTACAAATTATCCTCCAAGTTCTCCAACGTTTTCCGAGCCTTTTCCACTTTCCATTCGGAAAAGGGTCAGTTATTTTTTGCCAATTAGTAGCCAATGGATGTAACTTACTTTGTTTATTTTGTCTAAATCAAAAATTACCAAACTTAAACTTCATTAACAAATTCGCTCATTGTTATTTTCAGAGTAGTGGTTTGGGTATGACATTACGTTTCCACTCGATATATATTGCAGTCTTGCGGTATTTAGCGATTTTTTAATTTTTATTTTTATTTTTTTCTTTGCGGTATTTTCCGAACTTCTTGCGGTATTGCGGTGTTCAGAACCCTCAATCTCCCCCTCCAAATGGTTGCATCTCTCAACGAAAGAGTTGCATACAGAGGTAATGCTTTGCTTACTAATAGCCAGTCCAGGTGATGTTCACCGCTGAAGCCAAGGTATTGCCTGTGCAGTAAACGAGCGGATTATAAAAGGAGATGGGGTGACTACTTTTTTTTGGCACATCTGGATTGTAATGCAAATCTGTTTCTTGGAAAGACCCACCGAACACAAAGTTAGTCCATGCAGTGATCAAATAATTTCTATTTACCGAGTCAGAGGTCATATTTCTGTGGTATTTTAATATGTTTTTCTTAGCACGTTTTAAATATCAACATTGAAAGATTGGAAATCACTAGTGATTAAAAACAGCAAAAGCTAGGATTTGAAGCAATCAACTGAACTTGTGTATGATCATTTGAGCCTGAAATGGAGACATGCCATTGACTAGTGACCTGCGCATCCTGTTTCGTATAAACTACATCGACCTAAATTGAAACAAGAACAACTGGGAAAGCAACTCACTTTTTCATCGTTCTATACAGTACATAGATTTTATCTCGAATTAGAAGATCGATACGATGCAAATCCAATGTATATTCAGACGTTGCCTGAATGACTGTTGTAGATTGCATCCACCAATGGTCCGAATTTACTCACGCCTTGATCAGAGTACCAACGTTAATAAAGCCGGCGTGACCAGTGAACGCCAACAGACGGTTCTCAATCGGTTATTGTTATTGTTTCTTTTTCCCGACGAATGTCAAGCACCGATGAAAATTGATGTTCAATTGAAAGAATAAGAAACAATAAAAAAAGGCGTTGGTGTATATCGATGTTTGAATAGAGTTGGCAAGCTGATGCGCATAAGAAGCTATAAATCACGCGAATGACAGAAACAATCAAATGATATTGTTTCTACAGACATGCATTCCAACGGTCAAATTTCACGTCGCAGCATAAAGACTCACAGCCAGTATCCTGATGCCCTTCAAGGACTTAGTGACGGAATCAAGAATTATGTAGTCGCCATTATGAAGGAATCAGTGGATTCTTACTGTCTCTCTCCTGGCAAAGTGTGCGTGGCAGGTCCCCCCGGACCGAAGGGAATCGAAGGATCTCGTGGTGAACGAGGACCAAAAGGAAATACTGGAATCAAGGGCCAAAAAGGTACTCAAGATTAAGTCACGTGTTACCTGGTCATTGATGCCCTGCTCTAACTGAGATCTCGTCAGTTTCTAGACATTTTGATAAGCGTTTTGATCAGTTTCTACGCAAATTTTAATAGAATGATTTTGTTGTTTTTGTTTTTGTAAGCATTGCATAGCATCACTAATTTATACTAGTAGAATTCTACTCTAATGCTAACTTAAGCGCTGCAATCGAATTGCCTGAGCTATAAACACTCTCATCCAGTTGTGTGTAGTGGCAGTGTAGTCATTAATTAGAGTGCAGTTGACTTTGGTTGCACCCTCTTTAACTATCACGCATTATAGTTCACCACTAAATTTTCTCCGATTCTTATTCACTTAAACTGATCACGTGACGCGATAGTGTTTATCCGCCGAGAAAACCTATCAGCCCATAGTACCCGTCCGAGGAAAATATCCGGATGGATAGTGCTCGTCTGTGAAAATTCTTCTGTAAACAAGCAGGCTTATAGAAAATAAATAATTTAAATTTATTAAGAGGGTTTTGTCTGTTTTCTGTTTCAAATTTCACATTTGGCTTTCACGTGTTTCATCTAAAACTGTTGAGTATAATTCAATATGATTTTTGAACGGATGCGCGGAATATAATTTAGTGTGAACAATAAAGACAATAGCGTGTTTTTATCTCGGAACTATCGCTCTGATAATTGCTTCTTGGAAATTCGATGTTCTTAAAATAAGCATATTTGCCCTCGAAGCGTCGCTTCTCATGGAAATATTTGTTTTAAGAACATCAAATTTCCGCCGGGCAACTAGAAACAATCTATTGTTTAAATAGAAATCTCGAGCACATAATCCAATGTAATTGTTGAATAGAAACCTCGAAGTCATAATCTAATTGTTTATATTATAGAAAATTACTCGGAAAACATGTTTAACGGGGAAACGGAGAAAATCTTCAACACTTTGATTTGGTTCTGACAGGTCAATTGTATACTGACCAATATTAATGAAGTTCAGAACACGTCAGCAAACCTCAAAACCAGAAAATAATTACCCTTGCTGTTGGCAGTTTAGTGATTTCTCATGCCTAATTGACTTTTACCTCGCTACACAATAGCATTCCATAAATATTTCTGGTGTTGACGATTTTCTTAGTTTGACAGTAATCACTAGGCTATCTTGTAAATAACGAGCGTCAAGATTAATTTCAGTCGGGACCTGGTTACCTCTATACGGTTAATGATAAGAATAATTGTTTGATGAATATCGGTTACTTAGTCAGGGTATAGCCATGTAAACTTGGCTTCCGAATTAGTTCATTGTTAGAGCGGTTTTCCGTTGAGTGTCTAAAATAATAATCAGGCAATTACCTTAGTTTTACTTTTGGTTTATCTACGTTTTGAGATTGGCGAAATAGTCTAATTGGTAAATTATTGGTTTGGTTTTGGTTTAACGACACTTAATTGAAAACCCACTCTGTGATTCACAAATTTGAATGCAATTAGACCAATTCGATTCCAGCGAGGAAAGTTGAGTGCACGAGAGCCCACTTATACGGACAAAATATGTCGCAGGTAACATAATTATTCCCCGGAGTTACCCCATATAAGCTCTGTTGGTGAAGATGTCCGGGACTCTGAACAAATGCAGAGTTCAAATATTGTTTAATTTCTTTTCTTTTTCAATACAACACCGTCAGGAGCAGCTGGACGTCCGGGACCTAGAGGTGATCCAGGAGAGTCCATATCTGTTCCAGAGGTCAATGTATCTCCTACGTCACTCACTGTAACTCAGAACCAGACCGCCACGTTTTACTGCTCAGCTGATGGTAATCCAAAGCCTAGCGTGTCCTGGAGTAAAACAAGTGGAACAGTACTTGTGAATACGGACGGTCAAAATGATAAGCTACAGATCAAGATTGCAGGATACAATGACTCGGGGAGTTATGTTTGCACGGCTACAAATGTCTTGGGACAAGCTAAGAAGGTGGTGAAACTTTTCGTGGAAGGTACGTTTCTTGAAATAGAATTTAACCCGTGGCACGGACAAGGAAAGTCAAACCCCCACAGTGGTACAGGGAGGGGGAGGGGTTAGATGGAGCCCTCATCTTGGATTTCGTTCTGTTAAGAAGCAACGTAATACATTTTTTTAGTAGATAGCTCTGTGCTTACTCTACAAGATGATGCCATTTATGTTTGTTATGACGTCATTTGTTGGGCCATCTTAGACCCGCCATCTTGGATTTCATTATTTTCTTGAAACGTCAAAAATAGCGGAAATCATTATAAAATCAAGCCAAAATGCTTATAAAATATAGAAAAAGAAAGACTTTTTGCTATTTGATGAAGAGAACTGAAAAAAAATGTGAATTATGTCAAGAAAGCAGATTTTTTGCCAGACCTGCATGGACCTTTATAGTTGCCGTGGCAACGTCAAAAATCATGGAGACACTATTGACATATCAAAATTTCCGCGAAGGATGAATGAACAGCTACTGAAAGTTTCAGCATCTTAGATTAAATCTTCCTTTCAAGACTTTGAAAAACCTTTTGTTGAGATGGCATCCTCGCCCTCCTCCCGTCAAAATGAAGTCAAAACCCCATAAACTCATTTGGAAATGCTAACTTGCTAACTAGAAAGCATGTCAATCAACTGAAAAGAAGATATCTTTGTTTTCTCATTTTTTATTTGTTTTCTGTCTGCTGGTGTCTTGCCTTAACATGACCGCGCAATGATATTTCTTCAGTGAGTTTTTATAAAGTGTTTTGAAAATTTTTAATGTGCTTCATTATAAACTACATGATTACTGATGTCATTGCATTAGGTCAGTGTAGTCTGTTATAACCAGTTCTAACAAAATCAGATATCTGCATTGGATTAGAATGAATCGTAGGGCCATCATGGTTAAATAACTTAGTTTCTTTCTTTTTTCATTCATTAAGTTTCTCCGGAGTTTACTAAGATACCTGATAGACTGACAAAAGTTATTGGAAATTCAGTAGCCTCGATTGCCTGTCAAGCCTTTAGTTTTCCGCCACCAACAATTGTTTGGTCGAGAGGACTTGTGCCGTTACCACAAGAACGAACCACTGTTACCAATGGTACACTGAATATCTCCAACTTTAGGCCTCAAGACGTTGGTCCTTATCAATGTAAGGCGACCAATAAGCTGGGATCTGTTACTGCACTGACAACCTTACATTACGTTAAACAAGGTAAAAATCTTTTTTTTTTTTTTTTTCCCACATGCTTTATTTATACACACAAATATGCTTGGATTGTTTACACTGATATAAATCACTTACACTAATACAGTGTTTGGATTTTACATAGTACTTCGCTGTTAAGTTAAAAAAAAAGCACAAATAAGTAATCAAAAATATGACAAAACAGGACATCAACAAAAAGTAAGATGGCAAAAAAAAAAAATAGACCAAAGGCCGGTATTCTACTAGGTCGGTCTCGACGAGGCCTGGGTAATGATAAATTTAATACAGCAGGACTGAAAGTGTTTGAAATATTCTTACGATCACAGAATGCAGAAAATAAACAATCAAACAAACAACAATCAAAAACACATCTTAAACAAAAAGCAGCTAATTGTGATTGAGAATGGACTCAGCTTGTAACCACGTCTCACATTTTCAAAAACAAAAAAAAAGAAAAAGAAGGAAATCAAATTTTGAGAAAAAGGAAAAAAAAAAAAGTCCTTAACGATTTAAGTTAATTCTTTCAAAAAAGTCTAAAACTAAAATAAAACCTTTAAGAGTGGTCTTGCAATTGCGGGATCCTTTGGGACAGCGATACGTTCAGTACTTAGGAAAACATTGGACCGGCAATGAATCAAACTGAATGGTTGATTTTAGGTATTGCCACACCTTCTGAATTAATTTTAGTAGTGAATAATTAAGGTCACGCACCCTTTGCGGTATTTTACTGGCCAACCTAGATGACTACATTTGCAGTAAATTATTAAGAAATCTATGTCAGCAAAGGCCTATTAATAAACCAAACACCCAAACCCTGAACATCAATAAAATACTTGGTTAATTTAATTTAACTTTCTTTACGTCAAAACAGCTTTCGAAAGCTTTCATGATCGCAAGCAGTCAGTGTAAATTAATTCATTTAACCTCCTGCTGGAAAAGATTAAGATGTAAATTACAATCATCTCTTAACTTGTCCACTGTACAAGATTTTCTTGAAAGCAAGCCGTTCCATTTTCAGATTTGTGGAAGAGCTCAGCTATAGTAGGTGGCAACGCATTTTATCAAAGTCACCTCAAGCAGTTCCTGGCGCCTGCTGTTGGATTGAACCCTCAGTGGGAGCTGTGTTATCGCGCCTCCTCTCATGGCTGGGCTGGCAGTACCTTTCATAGCAGGTGTGATGGGAAACGTGACACGGTTACCATCATCAAAAAGGGACAATACGTGTTTGGAGGATACACCGATATACCTTGGGGTAAATGACGTAGCTTTTATTCTATTTCGATTCATCTGTTTAAAAGTTAGTCTTGTACCGTAGTAGCAGGGCACAACTGCACCCATAACGTTCAAAAAATTTTATTGGCACTGGCTATGTGATCTGTCTTTTAACAAATTAAAGCGTTTTACCAATAAGTGTATGATACGGCCGATGACAGTCTAGGTCCGAGTTGTATTATCGAACGTGAGAATTTGCTTTGCTTTCAAAGCAATATATTTTTTTTTATAGTATGACTGACCATCAGACAGCTAAAAACTAGGCAGCTCCATGATTCTGCGTTGCACCCAATGCAAAGCTCGAATGTGGCGTGCCCCAAAGAGTGAAAAACAAACAGTATAGTCAAACATCGTCGTACACCAAGATGCTATGTAGTGCAACTTCAGGAAATTGCATTTTAAATAGAGTACCGCGTCTTCGGGACTCACAACTCCTGTGTAAACATTTCTGGAAAAACCTTTTGCTCATGGATGACGTAACATCCATGAGCTTAGGAGGCAGTCGGATGGCACTCACTAACTCGATTGTGATTAATTTATTCATTAAACTTGAATTGAACAATTTTCTCCTACCTTCCCTACTAAGTATTGTTTTTGTCCAAGAGTGTTCAGTCGTATTGAGGAAGGTTTTTGACCCTGGACGATGGGAGACCAGAAAGGCGTACATTTGTGCCAGAAAAATGGTGAGCCTCGGTACAAGTTTGTCGAGCACTGAAGTTGGCCATTTTGGTTTCACATGTTTTCCTTTCGTAAATATGTAGTTTTTTGCCTATCGGCCTTTGCTCACACGTAGAAGAAAGCTGGTAGAGACATTTATGACTGTGGTGATGTATCGGTGACAACAGCGCGGTTAACGAGGTCAAAGAATTGATAGAAGAAACCCGCGGGAAGACAAAGCCGGAAAGTGGGATCGTGTTAACTTAGCATATGGGCGAAATTACATGCAAGCTGGTAGCTTTTTTTTTTCTTGGCAAGAGAATTCGATGGTTTCTCCTCGCTTTCTCTCCTTGTGGAGTCCAAGGTGAGCTTAATTCCAATTATAAGTTCTTGGTAAGTTTTGGCTTCATTACTTCTTTATTGTTTTATTTTTTATACACCCATTGAAATTCTGTCTGTGTTAGTATTTGACGGAAGTTCAAAATTTTTAAGCTTATTTCAAAATATTACAAGTAAGAAATTCGAATTGCCTTATCTTTTAAATTTGTTGTCGTTCAGACTACATTTCTTTTGTATTCCATGCAGTTCGACCAGAGTGAAAATTTCTTCACAAATGGTATGCAAGTCAACCTACATGTACGATCGAGCAAATATACTCCGAAATATTTTAGTGATCATGGATGGACAAACTAAGTCCAAGAGACTGTGCAGATGTACATGTACTTTTTGTGAGACAGATGTGCTGTCTAATTGTGCCAACATAAGCCTGACGCATGTTGGTTGGTGATGTCGAGTTTTTTTTCAGTTACTTCTGGAAATGAGAGAACCTTATTCCAAAATGGCAGCCAGTTTATTGTTCTTTTGTTTACATGGTAAGTAGCCCTCTTTGCCTCGTCAACATGTACAATATACAAAAGAATTTTGAAGTGAAAATGAGGCAAAGAGGGCTAATTAACATGCAGATAAAAGAATAATTAATTGGCCGCTATTTTGGAATAAGGTGTATTGAAGTTAAAACTTGACATAATTATGGAGAAGAGAATGCTTGATATTTGTCAACATAAGTATGTTCTGTAATCATTGCAAAAATATTAAAAAATATTACTGCATTGCTAGTGAGATTAACACAAACAATTACCAAGATATATAGGAATAAAATACCGTGATTTTTGTTTACAAGAGAAAAGACTATTGTTATTTTACTTGCAAGCACTGCAATATGTAATACCGTTATTATTGATTGCACCAAGTTAGGGCTTCTCCCCATCGTTGATTAAAGGCTTAGCAAGACAAGGATTTTAAAAATTAATTGATTATTTGTCCAAGAAAAAAGATCTAGTGGGCCCACAATCGATGTGAAATGGATTTCAAGCTAGAAGCTGCATTTATATGAAAGAGAAGCCTTTCTTGTCAAACACTATGTAAAATGGATAGGGTTTTGACCTTGGGTTAGAGCCTCCTTGTATAAAAATTTGTTACTTCCCTTCCCCATCCCCATAGACACAGTTATAGGAAAAAAAAACATACAAATTGTAAATAAAAAACATCCCCTTCCCTTGAGGCTCAAGATTGAAACGAAACTGTCTGAAATGATTCTTATAATATTGAAGGAAATACTTCTCTTTCTATAGATTTCCCATTTACCAGCAATCTAAAATCAAATTGTTAATGTTTGACATAGCTAAAAGTAAACAAGATTTTGTCAATATCCATGTCCCACTTAAGTGAAATTGGGCATAATACTCTTGGCAGTACTGGCATTCTCAAGTTGATTGTCTAAAATAAATGTCAAAATCATGTATTATAATTTTTGCATAATTGTTTTACAGCTGTTCCATAATGTTAACTAAACAAGGACCATAACCTATTTACGTTGACCCAAAACGCACTGCCGACTCACTGATACTATACAACAGGAGCCATAATCGGGGACGGAGACCGTAAGCGCGCGCCATTTCAAGTATTGGGGTTGTCCCCATGATATGGGGCAATAATTCTATTTTTAGA